AGAGGAGGAAGTGGAATGAAGTAATAGGTGATAAAAATTAATAGGGGTGGGAATCAGAAGGTGGTTGGGGAACTGGCTAGATTATATGGGGTGAGTGGTTGTAAGGACTTTGGCTTTTACCGAATGAATTGGGGGAGGTGGCAACGAAGGGTTTTGAAAAGAGGAATAATATGATCTAACTTATGTTTCAACTGAATCGTTTAGCTGCTGTGCTGAGAAGAAATGCTGGGGTAGGGTTACCAGATTTAGCAAATAAAAAATATAGGATACTCATTTAAATTTGAATTTCAGATAAACAACAAATACATTTTTGCATTCAGATTTGTATCCCATGCAGTATTTATTGACTACCCATATTCACTACCTTTTTTTTTTGTTTGTTTTAAATCACTTAAAAAAGAACCTCTTCAGTGTTACTGATGATTACTAATTATTGTAACCATGATCCTGCTGGTCCTAAGGTTTTAGGCCCTTATAGCAAATTTTTATCTCTCTTTTCTGTATTATCTTTATTTCTGTTTTTCACATTGAGGTTATCTTATACCCTAGATTATTGCATATGTAGTTTTTTGGCCCCAAGCCGAAGCTTAATGAATCAGAATTTCTGCGATGGAAAAAGGAATCTTCATGACTGCTTACTGTTCTAGGTTCTGGGTATACAGTAGTGTTATTTCTGTTTTTCACATTGAGGTTATCTTATACCCTAGATTATTGCATATGTAGTTTTTTAGCCCCAAGCCGAAGCTTAATGAATCAGAATTTCTGCGATGGAAAAAGGAATCTTCATGACTGCTTACTGTTCTAGGTTCTGGGTATACAGTAGTAAACAAAGCATACAAAAATCTTTACCCTTATAGAATTTACATCCTAGTGGGAAAGACACAATAATCAAATAAGTAAATACATAGTGTCTTGAATACTGATGTAGATTTTAAGAAGAAAGAAAAAGCAGGAAGGGGAATAGGAAATGTGTAGTGTACTGGTGAGGGGGTTGTGATTTTAGATAGGTTGGCCAGTGGAGGCCTTACTACATGGTTATGTTTGAGTGAAGACCTGAAGAAAGTGAGGGAGAGATCTGGTGAATACCAACGGGAACAGGATTCAAGGTGGAAGGAACAGAACTGCAATAGTCCTAAGGCCAGAGCATGTCTGGTGTGTTTACGAAACTGCAAGGGGCAGTGTGTCTGGAGAGGCGTGAAAAGGGGGAGAGTAGGAGATGAGATGATTGTTAGTGTTTAGGCTTTATGGTACATTCGAGAGAGAATTAGATTGTAGGCCCACCTGTGGCATTATCTCTGGGCCTCAGTTTCTTCAACAAAAAGTGGATGGAAGGCTAAGATGATCTCTTAGGTTTCTTCCTGCTCTAAAATAGAGTCTTTAATTTGAAATCTATTATTTCTTTCATTTCTACTTTTTCGGCTCTTTTTCAGACAATTAGTTTATCATTTAGAATTCTTCTATACTTTTTATGAGCTCGTTTCTGGTTGTTTTCTGACAAGCCAGGTGAACTTTTTCCTTCATGCTGCCCTTGCTCCCCTTTCTTTTCTGACTGAACTTGAAGATTTAGACAGTCCTTTAATAAACAGTAGGAAATTGTTCTCTTACACCTTGTTCAACCATTAGTTTTTCTATCATTCAGATTCTTATTTAATCCTAGCTAATAGAATTAGGAAGCACATATTTTTCTCTACTAAGAGACTGAAATTCTTGTGAATGGCAGCTTGATTTACAGCTAGGCAGAAAGAGAAGAAAGAAGAGGCTTGATTCAACTCTAAATTGAATAAATATCAATTGCCAATCCAAGATTAAAATGAATATAATGTGAAGGGAATCATGGGAATCTTGGCTGGGCACTTCTATGGAAAGGATAATCTTTAGGTAGGTCTTAAAGGAGTGTTGACTTAGAAATAATTGTGTGGGAGCAGTCTAAGATGTTGTTTTGATGGGTTCTATTAGCAGACAAATGTATAAAAGGAACATGACGTGAAACTTTACAGTCTTCTTTAGCATGAATTCTGTTGGAAGAACAAAGCAGTATCAAAACTGTTGTTGGTGCCTTTGAAAGCCAACACAAAAAAATGGGACTTGCAGGCTCTCAAATTGCAGCTTTCATGTAGTAGTAATGAAACAGTATAATCACTCTGAATCTGCCACCTTTTACAGCTTTCACAGAGTGTTATAAATGATAAAGAAACAAATCCAAAAATCTAAATAGTATCTTGGGGTTTCATGTATCTTTTTTTGTCATCTACTAGGTTTTGAGTACTGTAGGAGAGTCAGAAAAAGAATGTATTGTTAGATACCAACACATTAGGTTAAGTTTATGGTGACATTAAAGATGACAATCACAGTTTACAATAGTAAGTTTACTGTTATTTTTGCTAGTTATTTTATCTGTTGTGTATTTGGTAAAACATTTATAGTGATTACTCTTTTGAGCCTGGTTGAAATTAAAGAAAATCCTAATTGTGGCTGTCTTGACTGGATATAATTAAGGGAGGATTGAGGTGGAAAGGATTCATAAACATAGCTAGTTAGACACCCAGATGCATACATTTAATTTAGGCGCCTACCTCACTCATTTACTTTCCTACATTATAAAACTGTTTGGAAGTTTAAATTGAAAGACTTTTTATACACTTAAAATAGGAGCCTATTTAAAAATAATGGAGTAGATTTTGAAAAACAAATTAAGTTTATTTGGCATCTTTTGAAAATTATTGAATTTTAGACATGAAAGTCTATTTAAGCTTATTTTTATAGCAGTGGTAATTGTACAGGTCCAGTAGCTGTGCCAATTCTAAGTACAATAAGCTTTAATTAATGTAGGCTTTGGCTTATCTGTTAGTGGACACTGATTTTATTTATGACATATAAAGTCTAAGCAGGACATGCTAACTTAGTTCCAGTGAAATAGTCTGAAAAGTGTGCTCTTTTTTATTTTAAAAATTAGCCAATTAATTATGAGGAAGTAAATCTTTACTGAAATAGCTCTCTGACACTAAAAGTGATGACTATGTCCTGCCCACTTTTGGCTTGACCAAGATTATATTTTTGGATGATTGAATAACTTGGTTATGGAAAAGCTTATTCTCTAAATTGGATGTTGAAAAACTATGACCTGTGGACCAAATCCTGTGTGTTATTGTAAAGTTTTATGGGAAAACATGCATGCCAATTCACTTACAATTTGTTTATGGATGCTTTGATGCTACAGTGTTAGTGTTGAGTAGTTGTCACAGAGATCATATGATCCCCAAGGCCTAAAATATTTTATGTTTGACCATTTAAGAAAAAGTGTGCTCTATATCTAAGTCTTTTGTAGTTAGGTCCTGTTAAAGTCTTGGTGGAGGTTTATGAGTTTAGTGTTTTTGTGTTTAATTTTCTGTTCTGCTACATTCTAAAATAGAATACTTAAAAAAAAAAAAACACTGGAATTTCGTGAGTTAGTTTCCAGCTTTCTTATCCATAAGTAAGGATAATACCACCTTGCAGTGTGCTGTGAGGAGTAAGTGAGAAATGTAAAATGTTTAGCTGAGTGCTAGGCCCCAGGAGGAATTCAGGCAATGGGAAAATATCAGGGAAAGTCGGTGTCTGGGTATTTTAGGATGATATGTTTTTAGAGATTCTGATTTGTCCATAGAACTGGCTGTAGAGGCCTAGTTTATCCGGGGTCTTAATGTAGCATTACTAATTATTTTTCCTGTATCATTTCCTTCCTCCCTTCTTCCCTCCCTTTGCCCTTCTCTCCCTTCCTGAGTTAGTATAAAGTTAGGAACATAAATGTTGAATTTATTTTATGTGTTTATAGGAACCAGAAAGCAGGTTTAAAAAGTAATTTTGTATCTGAAACTAGGTAGATGAGGGATTATTTCAGTTTTTAAAAAATTTTTGTTGAGAGGTTAAGTGTTTTATCTTGCCTAGGATATGGGGAGAGTGGTAGGAGAGTCGTAAGATTTGGTGAATTATAACTCTAGGATGTATAGTTAATATTAGCATTCAGTTTACTTGTAGATAAGAAAAACCAATAATAGTTTGACTTCATCTATTAAAGGAGAGAGAGGAGGGGGAGAAGAACAAAAAAAGAGACATATTGGACCAGGCCAGCCCGTGGCTCACTTGGGAGAGTGTGGTGCTTATAACACCAAGGCCATGGGTCCAGATCCCTATATAGGGATGGCTGGTTGGCTCACTTGGGGGAGCTGACACCACCAAGTCAAGGGTTAAGATCCCCTTATCAGTCATCTTAAAAAAAAAAAAAAGAGTCATATTTGGGAATAGTGAATTTTGTTTTCCTTTTCTTGGCTAAGCTGCTGATTAAGTAGCAGCTAGCAACGAGGCTGGTCAAGATGTTCTATTCTTTGGTAGCTGGATAGATCATCAAAGAAAACAGTTGTAGTTGTTTGTAAATCCTCCAGGAGACATTGGGTGTTTAGCTGTGACTTGCATGTAAGATTTTGTCTCTGTATTATGTCTGTCAGTGTCCTTGTTAGCACTTCCATCTCATTTATGCCAGATCTGCATCACAATTTCTCACTTGTTTATTGTGGTCATACTTACACAATCTTTTTTCATTTTGCATTCTTTGATGTGTTACATGGGCTTTCCAAAAAGTTAATGCTCCATCTTCCTGGTATTTTGTTTGCCATTGTAAGTCATTATTTTAACATTGTTTGCATGTCATTTGTTAGTTCTCAGAATCACATTCAGAGCAAAAAGTTCTTGGTGTATTTGAGGCTACGTATATGGGAGACCTGAGCATATGTAAAGCGCATGGGTGGATTTCTCTAGCTAGTTATCCAGAAGATATTAGTAAATCAATAAAAAGTACTTACCTTAAGTAATTTTTGCTCCTTTATTTACTGTTGCTTTGAAAGTTTAGGTTATGATTTTGGAATATTTAGCAAATGTTGTTTTCTGTAGTCAAATTGCTGTTGCTATGTGCTTTATCTTTGACGAAGAGTGGGAATAATCTTATGGTAAATTCTGTTTTCTTACAGTCAAAGGCCATTGGTTTGTTAGATGTAGATGTGTATGGCCCTTCAATTCCAAAGATGATGAATCTGAAAGGAAATCCAGAATTATCACAAAGTAAGTAAAGAAGAGATAAATATTATCATAGTAGTTGCACTTTTATTTAGTACCTACTGTATGTTAGACATTGTGCCAAGTACCATGTGTACTTTATACACAGTGTAGTGTAGTGATTCAGAAATCAGATTGGGTGTCAGACTGTCTGGGTTTGAATCTCAGTTCTGTGTGGTTTTGAGTAAATTGTTTAAATTCCAGTTAATGGGGGGGGGTGCCTTTGCCCCCTATTTGTAAAATAGGATTACATTTGCTGTGAGGATTAATATAAGTGTAATGCATTTAGCACAGTTCCTGGCACATAGTAAGTGATTAGAAATGTTGGCTCATCTGCATTTTCTCTTTACATTAAATGCATAGATGTTTGGGAATATTTGAATAGAAAATATTTTTGTATTAGTTGAAAATAATTTTCTCTAATAAATTTTTGTCAGATTTGTCTTAAAGTGTTTTAAAAAACCCCCAAAACATTGATTTCACTCCCTTCTACCATCAATAGGAAGAAGTAATTTTTTAAAAATTTTATTAAATCAAAATTGATTATACATATATCGGGGATTCAGCATCGACATATGTTGATTAAATCAATATTACTAGCATATAAATTGTTACAAATCATACTTATTCTTTATGACCCTTGTCCAATCTCACCCCATTCCCCTCACCCTTCCCCCCTCTAATTACCCTAGATTTCTTTTCTCCTTCTGAAAGAATAATGGTTACTCTGTTTATTTGTTGCCTAGATGATCTGTCCAATGCTGAGAGGTATGATCAGGTCCCCCAATACTATTGTAGAGCAGATGCTTCTTCTGTCACTCTGGAATGGGCTTTGTGGAGAGAAACATCCTCTTCTTTATCTCTGTTGGTGACTCTCCTTGTGTCAGTGCACACCAATGGCTGGCAGACCATCTGCATGGTGGTTGTGGCATCTAGCTGCTTTCGTGGCAGCCATGGTTATTGTGGTGGCTGTGGTGGGCCACCCACATGGAGGTGATGTTTTTGGCATGCTCCTTGGCACAGGCAGTGTGCCTGGTTGTGGGAGGGGAGTCCAGTCCCCAGATCCATGACTTGCGTCCCGGGCGGTCCCTAAGGCGCTGGTGTGGTGTGCCTGGTTGTGGGAGGATGGTACGGTCCTCTTCTCCATGCCTCAGATCCCCAGGTGGGCCCTGAGGCACTGGTGCAGTGTGCTAGGTTGTGGGAAGGGGGGTCCATTCCTTGGCTCCAAGCCTTGGAGGATGGTACGGTCCTCTTCTCCATGCCTCAGATCCCCAGGTGGGCCCTGAGGCACTGGTGTAGTGTGCTAGGTTGTGGGAAGGGGGGTCCATTCCTTGGCTCCAAGTCTTAGGTCCCTGGGTGGCCCCCCAGGGTCCCTGGGTGGCCCCCAGGTGCTGGCACAGTGTGCCTGGTTGTGGGAGGTGGATCTGGTACCTGGCTCCATGCCTCACGTCCCAGGGTGGACCTGAGGCGCTGGCAGTGTCTCTGAACCAGAACTAATTCTTTTGTCCTTTACTTTCTTCTAAAGTGGGGGAACGTCCTGTTGGGACCAGTACTTGAGCTTTGTGGTTTAGCTAAATTGCTGTTTTGCTGCTCCTTCCCTAAGGAAGGCTTTTTGTGCACCACAGGTTATAATGGTTGATTTTATTTGTACTTCAGGCTCTCCAGAGACTTGGTGCACCAGGGTTGTATAGACTCTGATCTGGGCCCAAGTCTTTTCATCAAACTGCACCCCATGCAATTCTGTATTTCTGACCAGTCTTCTCTGAGTGGTCCTATGCTGATTGGGGTGCAGATCAGCTGTCCTTGCTGTGCCCCAATGTTCCCCCGGTGGGCATGTCTCTCCCATTGCCTGTGCTCCAAACACTTCCTGTGGGATGGGGTGTGTACCAGTCCCTTTCCATGACTCACCAGCCTCTGAGTGGCTCCAGTTTTTTCAGTTTTTGTGGCTCCTCGCTCCTGTGCGGGTCCATGGGAACCCTATTAGTGGTCTTGCTGGCCTGGGGGCCCTCTTCTCCCCTTCTGCCTCCAAGCAACTCCATCTGAAGGGCACAGCTGCAGCTTTTGCCGGCTCCTGCTCCATGTACTCAGCAGTTCCAGTCTTAAAGCGGCTGTGGCATGAAATGCTCAGAGCAGTTTTTTCTCTCATTGTGGCTTTTCCCGCCTACACGAACTCTGTAGGTCTCTCCTCCTCTTCCCCTGAGCTCCAGCGTGGCTGTTGTTGCTTTTTTATATAGTTGTAAATTGGTTGATTTCTGGGAGAGAGTGACTCTGGGGACCGTCTATTCTGCCATCTTGACTGGAAGTCAGAAGTAATTTTTTTGAATAAGTCTTTAGTATTTACTGCTCTTATTACATTTTCTTGTAAAGCTATCTAATATAAAGCTTTAAGAATAAGGAAATGCTATGATCAAAAAATGAAGAATTGGAAGAACTGGTAATTTCTCTTGAAAAATGGTTTTAAGTGAAACTGGTTTATTAAAACTGATTTCTAGTTATAGGAGTATAAAAGTGAATAATTTTTTTATGTTTCTTATTGGGTTTTTTATTTTCCATGGGTCTAGGACAAAATGACTATATTTGCTGATGGATATTTATTGAATTATCTATGTAGGTGATAGAAGTATTATTTTTTGTTGCCATTAAAAGTTAATTAGGCATTGTTTGTTATTTAAGTTGCTTTTGTTTGTGGTTTAGTTGCTGGAGTCAGTTATAATGTTGAGTGCTGGATAATTCTTTAAAACTTGAAGATCTAGTGATATTAAAATTGACCCTGGCAGTTTTATATTGCAGGCACTTATATAGTTTTCTTGTTTGATGAAAATGTAAACTTAAAAAGCTGTCATTCTATTTTCTTTGTTTTTGTCATTTTAATGGAATACATACTCCGTTTACAAATACATGACATGAGCCAAGATGTCAAACTTTCACAAAGAAGGAATAATGAATTTGTGTACTTAAATGATAGGTTCATTATGTCTGTCTCTTGATTAAAGTAATGTGAAAACTGGTGCGTGCGGCACATGAATGATGGCAAACTCGAGCCCTCAGTTTCAGTCTTTTCTTAAGTAGTCTCTTCAGTCTCTGCCAACATAAATACTTGAAGTGAACTTTAATTTCTTTCTTCTTGTTTTACTGAAGCTGTAATTTAAAATTTGATGTTTGCAAATTGACTGCCATTAGATAGGCTTTCTGGTAAAGATGAGATACTGAAAATCTTGGAAGGCCTGAAAAAAAACACTTTTTTTAATGTGTTGACAAGCTGATCTGAAGTCTCCCAAGAAATAAACTGAATGATTAAGGTATTCATTTAAAAGAATGTGGATTCTTAAAAACCCAACTTATAAATTGTTTTTTGAGTCTTAGAAAAACCTGCCACCATTATACTAATTGGCATCATTTTGACATTTCTACATTTTATCATGTTAATTTATCCTGTTGTACTCTCTATTATAGAAAACACAGTGCAATATAAAATTATCTAATTAACAAGAAAGAAATACTATGAAAGACTTGTTTTCAGCAGTTCAGGTTTTGGGAGATAGTCCAGTGAACTGAACCCCAACTTTTAGACTTTCCTCCATTCTTGGACTAAGCTGGACAATGATGGGGGTATTGTGACCTCAGGGTTGCCTCTTTCTCTTCAATAGTTAAACAGATGTATGGTAATATAGTTTTCATCAATTTGTTCATTTTAAAACTCCATGTTAGAGTTGGCAGATCATTCATTTATCCACATTGTTTTCATATCTTTTTTCTTTTAGGGGGAATTGTAAAAAAACCATACTTTTTGCAGTTATGACATTATAGCCTTGATTATCAAGAAAAATTTTATATTTGATTTTAGAAAAATGAATTCAGTAATTGAAGAAAAATTTAAGATAGTTTCCAAGTTTCTTAGGCTGAGAATGTTCCTATCTGCTTAAAATGATAAGTGTTTTTCTATGTTATCATGCAAAATTATGGTAATGGGAGTCTAGCCAGTTTGTAGAAGGGTATTATACAAAAACATCAACATTGTAATAACTGCAAATGACCAGTTGCTTTGGAAACCTAATGGAATTTAGAATAAAATCTATGTATAGTTGGAGAAATAAGTATCTAAGCACTCTAAGCAGGAATATAATTTTTTTTAAAAAGACCAAATACCAGTTATTTTTCTCCATTTTAACTTTCCAAGTAACATAATACTCAAATTTCATATTTTATATATCCAAATTATAGTCCTAGAAATTATTGACTAGAAGGTTCTCAATTGAAATGGCAAATAAATGTGTTGCTACATTTCACAAATGTGATATTCTTTTTTTGTAACTATGCTGATGGTTCTCAATAAGCTTTCTAAAATGACTGCTATTGGTAGAAATATCTGCTTTCTTTCATAGTTTTGTGATGATAAATCACTTTCAGAATAGTTGTGAATTTATTCCTATTTAGATGTTTTTTTTTTTTTTTTGTCTTTT